CTGTACTGCTCTGACCTTACTCTATCTTCGTTACTTATTTTCTGCAGATACACGAAATGACTGCATTTAGCTCTTTTAGTGACAACCAAATAAGGAGAAGAAAGAATCCAATCCTTTTAAAAATTCGAAACAAAAAATTATTCAACTTTATCCAAGAAAAGCCATTTCCAAAACGTTTGTAAAAAAATTAAACAACCTAATCCTAAACAGAAAAAATGTAGAAAAACCTTCGTTCACTAACTGAAAAAAATAAAAGGGAAAAGTTCAATTAGCAAAGGAGTTACATAAGAACAGAGATGATGAAACGAAATGAGACCAGAGAACAAGATCCACAAGCAAAATTCCCCAACTTTATCGGAAAAAAATAATTTTATAAATGTCCCGAACAAGGAAAAATAGAACTACTTTGGTTCAAAAACGAAAAAGCTGCCTCGGGTGGAGCTTACAGAAATACGAGAAAAGTTGCAAGTGTATAAAACGACTTCTGTTAATTAGTGGTCCCAATCCCGATAAAAACCATCTTTGTCCAACAACGATCGATGGTTGACTCGACAAGAAATAGCGGACTAAAACCTGCAGTTCCTGCAGTGAAAATTTGAAAAATACTAGTGATAATCTGGTTTCAATTCATCAGCTCTGCTGCTTCTTCAAAAGCGGCAATTTGCGGCCAATTTGGGTAAAAACTGAAATTTCGAAGCATCCGAGAAAAGACTATATTGTCGGTTGAATTCGTTGACTCGTGGAGGTCGTTGCTTATTCAAAAAGTCGCTTATTTCACACCTCGAAAAACCCGCAACCTGTTGCCGCCACACCACTTACCAATACCAGACAGTATACGTTATTCAGTAATAAAAATTACCGATTTACATAACAAACAATAGACAGAGAGTGTTGCAGCAGATAATGGAGCAAATAGAAACCATTTTATTGTGTTAATTAACCGAATGTTAGATAATAGACGGCGAAAAATCGAGCATCCAAGTGCCAGAATCAATAAAATCGATTGATTTGACCGGCAAATTGATGTTTTTTTTGTGGTAAAGGTTTGGTTCCAAAATCGTCGAGCCAAGTGGAAAAAGCGCAAGAAGACAACAAACGTATTCCGAACACCTGGAGCCCTTTTGCCCTCGCACGGTTTACCGCCCTTTGGGGCAATGGGGGAGAATTTATGCGGAAGAACCATGTTTGGCACCAGTGACTCTGGATGGGGAATGGCCACAGGTAAGCGACAGCAAGCTGCATTTTTTTCGGGCTGCCAGTGCCATTTTAGTGCCAAAACTCAAGTTTTGGCACTGAAACTCAAACACCGCCGCTAATCGGATAAATTTTCGATTCATTAGTGAAGAATGTATCGATAAGTAGACTGTAATGGCCAATTAGAGTCTTTATTTTAACTAACACTAATTCCAAGCGTCAATTTTCTGATGAGCTTTGTCAATATCGATTTTTTTAGTTTTTAGCGTAAAAATTTGCGTGATTTTTCCGGCAAAGTAACAGATTTTGGTCCTTCGAGCCGAATATCACTCAGTACATTTCAACACCCCTTGTGCTCCAACTATATCGAAAAACTCCAAGTTTCTTCAAATAAAATCAGCTTCAGTAACATGTTTCAGGTCTGTCCCAATTGGGTCAAGGTACAGTAACAATGGGCAGTTTTGGGCAAACTCTGGGCCAATTGAATCAAAGCAGTAGTTTAAGTTCGACGTTGCCGATAAGCAGCTCGACAGCCAGTACCGTTTACCAGGCCCACTATGGACTGAACTCCTTAGGTAAGTTGCCCCTTAAGAGGCTGATGATGTTCGGGCAGAGCGCAAGCGAAACGTTTGCCGGCAAAGTCAATGCCCATGGATAGAAAGTGGGCATTGCTGGTATGTAAACCGTGTTGTTTAAACGGGTTTAAGTATACATGAAAATAAGATCATAGCAAACAGGTTAATGGTAAAATCAGTTTGCTGTATCAATTAGAGCCCGCTAGGTGTATTTCGGTAGCAAACCACCGAGTCGTGTCTAATCACTGCTAATTACCTGTTTTATGTATCCTTCCTTAACCTCCCAGATCTGTGAAATAATACATAAGCTTGTTACTTCTGACCTGAAGTGTTAATATTCAAATGCTGCTAACCGGTTTGTCTGATGGAGAATGGATGGGCTTTGGTTTCACCTCAACCTTCCATGTAGATTCTGCATTTTCATTTACTAAAATTCTCTTCACCAGGACCGATAGTGGAGTTTTGAATGCAAAAAAATTTATTGTTGGCTTGAAAATTGCTACGTTTCGGGTGAAATGAAGGATCCCGCTTTTCCTTCTTATGATATCAGTTGTATTTCATCTTTATTTCGAAATTTGCCGTTTCTTCACTGGTGTTCTCACTTTACTTCCGTGTTATTTGAACATTTTATTGACATTTTTAGACACAATCAAATTTATTAAGTTTTTTGCTGATTATCTTGCTTATTTCTTACCAAAGCTTTAGATTGAAAATGTTCCTTTTCGGATAAATTTGAAGCATTGTTTTTATTTCTTCGGTGCCTTTCTAATACCGGGTTTTTTGGTAATTTCCGCTATTACTCGCTTTTTTTCGTTTGTTTATTATTGGGAAGTTTGTCATTAAAAAAACCTTTTTTTCTGTCTCACGTTAATTCGCTGTTATTTGAACATTTAATTTTTATTTTTTCGCGAATGAACTAATGTTCTATTTTACAAAAGTGTTGGTTTCAAAATAGTCTTTTTTTAATGATAAATTAATTCAAAGAATTTTCTTTGCTGCTTCCGTTCCTTTCCAAGGGTAATATTTATTTCCTTTGTTATTATTTGCCTTATTTCGTTTGCCTCTTTTTGGAACTTTTCATTTTTTCGCTTAATGAACCAAGGATTTTCCATTCGTTTGCTGTCTGATCAGCTTCTTGATTTCTTTCTTGCCAGATTATTCGCATAAAAATTGTACTTTTCGGATGAATTTGAAGAATTTTCCTTATTCTTTGGTATCTTTTGAACGATTGTATTTTTTCCTCCTGTATTGATTATTTCATTTAGTTTGTCCCTTTTTTAAAATTTGCCATTAAAACATCGTTTTTTCTGCACTTTTTTTCGTATGTTGATTCTCCGCTACCAAACCCAATGGTTTTGTATTTTTTGCTCACTCAGACCAGCTTGTTTATTTCTTCGATTAAAAATATTGAAAATGGCATTAAAAAAATGTTCTTTAATCGTTTGGTATCCTTCAAAAAAACGAATTTTTTTTCTAGCATTAATTGCTTTACTTCCTTTCAAAATTTGTCATTAAAAATCGTGTTTTCTTTACTTTTCTTCATATCTTACTTCACTGCTATTTGAACTTATTAAACCAAGGCTTTCCTATTTTCCGCTACTCATCTCTTGCTAATAAAAAAATTGAAAATTGTTTCTTTCTGCTTAAGTTGAAGATTTTTCTTGTTCCTTTGATGCTTTGAAATATTGAATGTTTTTAATCTGGCATTAATCGTTTCATTTCGCCTGTACTGTCGTTACTCCAGAAAAGTTGTTAAAAGTGTTCTTGAATTTTGTATTAAAGTTTGCTATTTTAGCTTTTCCCATTTATTTTTTAGTTTAATAAACCCGATTTTTTCATTTTTCTGCTTCTTCGGTTCTTTATTTTTTTCTTGCGAGTATCGCTGTGACTTTACTCTATCTTCGTTACTTATTTTCTGCAGATACACGAAATGACTGCTTTCAGCTCTTTTAGTGACAAACGCGAATTTACTAGAGATTTTCAAGTGCCTTCTGCAAATATGTGAAAAACTAAAGAAAATGATCGGAGTTGGCAAGTAAAAACAGCGAAAATTCCACCGAATTGAATTCAAACTCGTCAAAACTAATAATTCTATCAAGGTCAATAATAATAATCGGATTTTGGTATTTGATTCTTACATTTCGCATGAACCTTTTTAGGAAATTTGTTATTACCAAACGTGTTTGCTTCATTTCTGTTCATCACATCTTTCTCTTCCTTCACTCTATCATTCATCTCGACATTCATTTTGTTCAACTACAAAAAATTACTGCTTCAATTATACAAAAAACACGCATTGAATAGACTTTCGAAAATTATTACAATTGAGAAAAAAAAGAAACAAAGAAAATTCGGCTAAAATGAATTAAAACTGTTCTAAGCTTTAGAAAATGTAAAGCAAATTCTTTCAATAAACCTGATTTTTTTACTTTTGCTGTTTTGGATTTTCCTGTTTACTCCTTCAGACAAAAACACAAATTGAATAGAAAATTTCAAAAACTTTTTCAACTTTGAAGAGAACTGAGGAAAATTTACAAGAGAAAATAAAAATTATTGTGCCAAGCTACGTTTCAACTGTTTCAAACCAAAAAATACAAATCAAAGGCGAAAGGGAAAGAAAATTCCGAATAATTAATCATCATTGATAATTAATTAATGGCTTCAACATGGAAATTTTCGGGTGAACTAACGGATTTTATATGTTTCTTCGGTGTTTTTCTCTAGCTCGAAGTTTATTCCTTGGATGTTAATAATTTCAATTCGTTTGTCGTTTTTTTGGAAATTTTCCGTTAAAAATAGTTTTCCGTTACTTCATTTCTTACTTATCTGCGAATTGAACTTTTCATTTGCTTTTTCGAATTTTCGTTTGCTTATCTTTGTCATTTCCTTTCATATGCTGCACAAAATAATTGTTTTCAGCTGTTTTTCGAGTTTTTTTGTTTCAATTAATTGCAATGTTTTGATAAAACATTACGATTATCAATGATCCAAAACAATTTATTCAGTTTTTTCTTCATCTTTTGCCTTGAACTCGTCAACCGTTAATTGACAAGCTATGAGCGTCCTGCGTTCTAAAAAATTGCAAAACAAAGTCAAATGAGATGAAAAATCAGAGTAATTTATTCTAGATGATTATTGATATTCGGTCTTTTTCTTTCTATCTTGTCTCTTTGGAGCTCTTTATTGTAAAGTGATTGGATTCCAAGTCCTAAAAAAATGTCACGCAAAGGCAACACAGAAAGGAAAAATTTGTTCCGAAGCTTTGAGCAAAACCTGGGGGTTTGGTCAAAACATGACAATTAAACAATCAATTATCAATGATACTAAACGAATTATTCTGTCTTCGCTGGGTATTTTATAGCCTGCCCGGACTGAACTGGGAAAAAAATGAGGCTTACACATCCTCCATTAGCTGTTTCGTATTTATCGTGGAAAAGACACGAGTCCCAGCCAGAAACGTTGTTTACAAAATTGATTTATGCATTGCAGGTGATAGCATGATGACGTACTGTAATAACGGTGGCGGCGGCGGAGGCGGCGGCGGGGGCAATGTAGGAGGCGGTGGAGGAGGCGGCGGCTCTCCACCCCCGCAGATCTCGTGTTCGAACGCCGTCACTCCACCAGTGTCGTCAGGCGCCTCCCCAAGCGGAGGGGAGCAGGATGAGGAGGTTTGGCGTGGCCACAGTATTGCTGCGCTTCGACGTCGAGCTTCCGAACTTAATGCCGCTATCCCTTCTTACCTACAAATCAACTATGACACACACAATAATGCATCCGTTTATTAAATTTTTCCTTTGCAGCATTCCGGTTATTAATAAATAAAAATGATTCATGGTCAGATTGGTTGAAGAATCGCCTCTGTGCATGTTGGACGCGTAAGCAATGCCCATTCCCTCTCACTTTCTAACTGCAAATTCAACTTTCTATTCTAAGATTGTGCTCATTTTAAGTTCAATAAATGGGGAAAAGAAGACTTAAGTCTGTCCTCTAACTTCAAAGAACCGATTTTAATAGAATTTTGTTGCTCATTTTCTTCCGAAATAATTGTCTTTTTAATTGTTTTAAAATTCTGAAATTTTTTGCGATTCTAGAGTGCTAAAATACATTTTGCTACTGCGAAATTTTTTGCCAGGATTCTCCAAGGAACATTGACATTTGAGGCTATTTTTATTGGATTTCATAATTTGCCTTTGTATGACACACATTTTACTTTACATTGGGGTTAAATGGGAAAGTTAGTTTGCTGCTACCCGGTAGTGCTTAATTGCGTCTCGATAATAGAATTAAGCAAGAAAAAGCAGTCTGTGCCAAAATCGGAACATTTGACGGAAATTTGGAGGCTTTATTCGCGTTGGAAATTTCCGCTCCCGTAACAGTCTGTACAAAACCTCCGATTTTCCCCCTTGGTTGAGCGAGAAATATTTTTGTGGAACACTCAGTATATTTGCGCATGTAGTTCGTTCGTATGCAACGGCCGGTTAAGATTAATTTTCAAATTCGAACATTTTTTATACCGAAACTTTCCATCCGGTGAATCCATTGGAATTTCACGTTTAATTTTTTGCGTCGAAACGAAGCCCCCGACCAGGGAACCCTTTTTTTGCTAAAAATCTGGGCGCGCTAACAGATATTTATTTAGTGCAATTTGTCCGTTTGCAGCCTTCCGTTTATTAATAAATACAAATAATTTATGGTCACATTGGTGAAGGAACCATTTCTGTGCATGTTGTACGCGTAGCTTTCATTTTATCAGTTTAAATGTCTATTTTATTTTCATATTCACGTTCTAAACTGGCAAAAAGTTTGTTCTATAGAGGTATGAAAAGTTGCAGATTTTTTTTAATAGAAACGTCTTACAAGAATGTGGCCGTCGTATTAAAATCTGGCTTTATTTCGATGTAATGCGATGTTTTTCTACATCAATTTTAGTTTAAAAAAAAGACAAATTGATAGTTTTTTTATCACATCTAAGTCAATTGTGCTCATTTGAAGTCAAAGGAATAAGGAATAGAGGCTCGAGTCGCTCCTATATTTTCAAGAAACAAGAAAGCAAAAATGTGTTGAAATAACAGAAAATTATGCGAACCCAGAACGCTAAAGATCATTTTTCAACGGTGGATTTTTTGCCAGTATTTTCCGGAAAAAAATTATTTTTTTAGGCCATTTTAGTTGAATTTCATAATTTGTTTTTGTACGACACACATTTTACTTTACATGATGTTAAATGGGAAGGTGCGTTGTGTGTTGCCTGGATTGTGCTCAACTGGATCTTGATCTGTAAAATTCAGCGAAAAAACGTTGTCTGTGTAAAAATCGGCTCAATTGATGAGGATTTCAGGGTTTTTTTAACTTTTGAAATTCCGAACCCATAAGAACGCATTCCAAACTTTCGATTTTCCCCCTTGGCTCAGTGAAAGACGTTTTTGTGGAACACTCAATATCTTTGGGTCTGTAGTTTATTGGTATGCAACAACCAGTTAAGATAAATTTTCAAATTTTTTTTACCGAAACATATCCGATTAATTCGTTGGAATTTGACTCGAAAATCACGCACTAATTTTTATCGCGTGAACGAAACCTCCCATCAATAAAGTCATTCCTAATAAAAAATTTGCAGTCGCAGCCGGTTTCTAGACCAAAATCGCAGTATGTATGGTTTTCGAGGTAACGACAAAAACATTTAGTCTTTAAAAAAATTTGCAAATGAGCAGAGCTGAATGTATGCGATAGAGCTGAAAAAATGGATAATTAATATGAGAAATTCACTTGGCAGCGCTGGAAAAGTCCAAATAAATTAACTGCGCTATGGATTATGTTTTGAGAAATTTGGAAAATCAGACCTCAGTGTCTTTCTCACCAAAATTGCATGGGGTTTAAATAGGGATTTCCATTTAAAGCCCCGTTATCATCAAATCCATTGAAATAGACGATATATAATTTTTGGTGAATGAATTCACCCTGCTCGGCAGTACTTTAACGGTCTAAAAATCATAATTTTTGCTGCCAAAAGATTGCGAAAATGTGCCATCATCAAAGATCAAAGAAGAACCAAAGAGTTACTGGTTAGAATTTCCAAAATTTTGCTTCAAAAAATCTAATATCTTTTCTACAGTAAAAACAGCCAAAAATTGTGAACTCGTCAGTGCCAATGTGTATCAATTTTTTTATAATAACTTCGGTTTAACGGTTTTACATCTGCTTTATGCAAAAGATGCCCCGAGCCTAGAAAAAATTAATAATGAGAACAATCCCAGTTATTTTTCATAATTTTCGTTTTGAATCCACTGGGAATGGGTATGAAGTGAAAGTCTATGTTGTAATTGTGTTTTTCCAGTGTATAAATTACATAAAACCCCACACTACCCAATCAAAATCAAGACAATTCCTCTCTTGAATGTTCCGACTTTTCTGTATAGATGTAAATATTTTGATGGAATCAACCGAACTAGCGGTATTTTATATGCATGGTTTTCTAAAAAAATGTGCCCACTATTCAAGCTGAAACCATCATTATCTTACAGAACATTTTCTTAGAAACCCATTTCTAGACCTGTTGTATACGTATTATTATGCCATATTGGTTATAGAACTAAAGGAGAAAAAATTAACTAAACACACTGTATACATTCGTTTAACGTGAATGTGCTCTTTATGAAGTATACGATTTAAACTTAGTTTGTACAAATATTGCAATGATAGCTTATAGGGGCCCTAGATTATAGATATGTATGTATTTTATTATATTAAAAATTGATAGAGTTGTATCAAATGTGTTCTTTTAAGCGGACTTGTGGTAACAATAAAAAAACGTTTTGTAAACTATTTATTTGCTGTAGTTTTGTGGCTTAATATCAAGGAGGGATGCAATGGAGCACGAATAACGGCTTTACCTTCAATTAATTAGGTCAGTGGTGGTTTTTGCGCGTTTTTTTATTGTTTTGAAACTTTTGATTTGGTCAATATACGGTTTTTGTTTCAAACATGAGGCCACCTTAAAATATTCATTAGGAGCAATGAGCAGTTTTTGCACAGCCGATTACAGTAAAACACACAAAACCCAGTAAATTGCAGCCATTTATTTCATACAGGTTTATTCGTTACATCTACCCTATTCATAGGACCTACGTGTACTAGAAGACTACTCAGATGCATTGCTGTGCGAAGTCTTCATCTAGACGCCCCCAACTAGCCATGCTCCTTCCTTGCCCATTTCTGCCTGCGAGGGCCGGTGTATTTTATATACATGCTTCTTCAATGTTCAGGCTTCTGCATCAACTATCTAAGTATATTATTCTCCAAGCCATCCAGCTTCCTGCGAAGCAGCAAGTGTTCTTCCTTTATCAACTCGCCCAGTAGCTTCATGGCTTTGTCGATTTGCTTCAAGCTCGCTTTGCTGAAGGATGCCCGGATGTACTGGCACGCCTGAGTGGGATCGGCCATGAAAGCGTGTCCAGGCACAAAAGTGATGTTCTTCTTCAGCCCTCGGGTCATTAGCATGTCGTAGACATCGGCAACTCCATGCACTTTGATCCAGACGAACATTCCACCTGTGGGCACTGTCCATTCGCAGATGTTCTTTAGATGCTTGTCCATGGCCGCTATGGTGAAGTCACGTCGGGCTTGATAGTATCGTCTCACGTAGCTGAAGTGCGAAAGGAGACCATTGAAGCCCCAGGCAGAGATCAGATTGTCGAAGATAACCTGAAGCAGAAAATTGAGGCTGTGATTGACGTAGTCGCTTCGTTTCCTGGTAGAAACCACTAATTGCCGTTATCGCTATCAACACGAGGCATAAAAATGCTTCAACTGTAGCTGCGATTCCGGACTGAACTGCTTCAGCCCGTTTTAGCAGCCGCAAAGCCGATTGCGTTATTTTTTTTAACCACTAGGTCAACGTACAACTTCAAACGGATGTAGTCCAGCGTGCGAATTCGCTACATTTTGCAAGCCGAATTCGTTGTTTTTGTCATTGATAATGCGAATTGCGTTATATATTTTGCAAATTAATTTTATTGCTTCAACCCTGAGCAGTCTAATTACAATAGGTCAAGTTTTACAGTGTTTTGGCTGATAAACAGCCTCGAGTTGCCACTCGGGATTATCTAGCAAAAGTCCACTTTTAATATGATTCGATTGGTGTTGCCAGCGGCAGAAGCTTCAAACTTTTTTTGCATCATCAACCAGTTGATTCTTCCTCACTTTCAGTGCAGCAGTTCAAGACAGTTTGCTTTGGCCTCTTGTTCAGCCAGGCTTTAGTCCAGCTGATTACATGATTATTACGATGGGTCGCTTTTGATTGCTCAGACCTTATGGCTTTTTGCCACCAAATTTGCATAAAAACAGCGTGCAAGTCAGAAACTGTGCATTTTTGAAAAAACGCAAACCACCTTTTGTGCCCACCTGACTGTGGAATTGGCAGCTAATTTTGTTTGCAACAAAGCCATTGACGGGTGGCGTTTTTCCGTTCAGAAAGCATCAAATGTTGAATAAAACGCTAATTCCCTCGGACAATTTTTCAAATTATAAAAGATATCATCATAATGCCAAAAAACGCAAAAGAGCTTGTTTGTTCCCAACCCGATGCTGAATGTGAAAGTAATTTTTGTTTGGCGAAAAAACCATGGTGTGTACCGTTTGTATCGTCCAAAACAGCACTCGCCCACACGTGTTATGACTTGGGGCTCCTTTATATTTTTTTTGGGTAAACGGGTGCAATTTGTGCAAAAATGTAATTTAAAATTGGGGGAAAAGACATGGTTTTGGAAGTGTTCAGCAAATTTAAAAGGAGGAAGCAAAATATCGCCAGTCGCCAGCATCTCAAAAATCCTGTTTTTAGTAACCGAACTCAATTTTGATCACACTGTTTACTCTCATAACATAATCATATTGATATAGTGGATAAAAAAATTCGTTTTTTATCGCCCGGAAGCGAGCGGTAACTCAATGAATTTTTAGGAGTTGGCGTAGTGCCGCTCAAATGGCTTGGTGCGCCAACTCAAGGCACTAGCGCAACAACTCAGTTCCGTTGCTGGGAAAATGTAGATGACTTTTCCTTACTTGTTTTAGATTTATTTTAAAGGCCATTTATTAAGAATATTTTTTAAATGTCTTCAAATTTCACAGTTTTAGAACTCTTGGAAACTGGCGTTTCCTCAATTTTAGGTCAATATTTGTAAACGGCACTGCCTCTGAACAGAAAAACCGCGTTTTTACTAACGGTTTACTGCAAAATACTGGCCAACTGAACCATTTATGCAAAAAAATTAAGATATCGACTTTACAAGAAAACTCGTCGACTTTCTTTGGACTCAGATCTATTGCATGGAAAAACTGCATGACCTTTTTTAGGTGTTTGAACAAAGTAGTAAAACGTTACTTAGGAAAAATGTTGATGACCCTTTTTTATATGTGAAAATCCCAGTATCGAGTCTCGTAAATCTTTAATAAATGACTTGTAACTCATTAATCGATGAGTTATAACTCGATAACTCGGGGAGCGGCAACAAGTCAATAGCGCAACTCAACACAGTGTTACCCAGGCTCGCCGGACACGGCACTGGTACCAAAAGAAAAATTGCAAAACTTTCATTATAAGAGAGTTTCATCCCTTTAATGCAAAAAACTTACAAAAGATGAATGTTTCTCAATTTTTCCTTTGGCACGAAAATGCTATTAAACCATGTCTTATGTATTTGTTGTGCTGACAAGTGGAAAGAAACCAAAGCATGCATTATTTCTGGGTTTTGTTCCAAAAATATTTGTCCGAACTGAAAAAGCGAAAGTTTATAATCATTTATTTGGAAAAATCTTCGAAACTGGGGTTTCTTTACTTTCAGGTCAATATTTCAACATTGTCTCTAAGCAGAAAAACCGTGTTTTTCGTAACGTTTTACTGTAAAATACTGGCAAATTGAATCTTTTAAGCAAAAAAATTAAGAGATCGATTTTACGGGAAAACTCGTCGCCTTTCTTTGGGCTCAGTTCGGTTGCTGGAAAAATCTAGATGACTTTTTTTAGT